AGATGCAACCAACTCTCTGATCTTGTGGAACCTTACATCAATATGTTTAGTTCTAGCACGATACACCTGATTCTTAGCCAAGTGCATAGCACTTTGATTATCACAAAGCAACTGACCTCCACCTTGTTGAACACCCAACTCCTTCACTAAACCAGTAAGCCATAAAGCTTCTTTTGCAGCTTCAGCCGCTGCCATGTACTCAATTTCAGTTGTAGATAGAGCCACAACAGATTGAACAGTAGACTTCCAACAAATAGGCCCTCCACCAAGAGTAAAGACATACCCTATCGTAGATCTTCTATTATCCAAGTCACCTGCATAGTCTGAATCCACATATCCTACAACCAAAGGATTATCCCGCTGACTCCCAAAAACCAATTCCATGTCCCACAGTACCCTTTAAGTACCGAAAGATCCACTTGACTGCTTCCCAATGTTGCTTACCAGGTTTAGACATGTACTTACAAACTTGACTAACAACATCAGCTAAATCAGGACGAGTACATACCATCGCATACATCAAGTAGCCAACAGCATTAGAATACGGAACCTTTGCCATATCTTCAGCTTCCTTATCTGTCTTAGGGTACTGTTCTGATGAGAGCTTAAAGTGATTTGCCAATGGAGTGCTAACTGGTTTCGCGCTGCTCATCGCAAACCTTTCTAGCATTTTCTCAACATAACCCCATTGAGATAGCTGCGGTTTCCTTGAGTCTCTGTCCCTGCAAATTTCCATTCCAAGAATTTTCTTTGCAGCACCTAAATCTTTCATATCAAATTCCTGACTCAATAAAGTTTTCAAACTGATAACATCATCCATGTTCTTCGCAGCAATCAACATATCATCAACATACAGTAATAGAAAAATAAAAGAACCATCATCAAGGCTCTTAACATAGACACAACAATCATACTCACATCGGTTGTAGCCAATCTTGATCATATATGAGTCAAACCGTTTATACCACTGTCTCGGAGACTGTTTCAACCCGTACAAAGATTTCTTCAATCTGCAAACTAAATGCTCGTTTCCAGGTTGAGTGAAACCTTCAGGTTGCCGCATGTAGATCTGCTCCTCTAAATCACCATGCAAAAAAGCAGTTTTAACATCTATCTGCTCTAAATGCAAATCCCAACTAGCCACCAATGCAAGTACTGCTCGGATTGAAGTGTGCCTGACCACAGGAGAAAAGATTTCATCATAATCAACTCCTTTCTGCTGTGAAAAACCCTTTGCTACCAAACGAGCCTTGAACTTCTCCCCCTCTTTTTCTGTTACTGCTGGTTTCTTCTTATACACCCATTTGCAACCAATCGGCTTCTTACCCTCAAGAAAGGGAACTAACTCCCATGTGCGATTGTGATTCAAAGACTCCATCTCCTCAACCATGGCTGCCATCCACTTGTCGTTTTCCTGACTAGCAACGGCATCATGAAAAGTAACAGGATCATCACTGCTAACAATAAGTGCAAAAGATACCAAGTCTTCAAAACCCAATCTGTTCGGAGGCTTTATATTCGTCTGTCTCACCCTGTCTCTGGCGAGACTATAGTCCTGCAAATCATCCGTAGTGGAACCACCAGAAGTCGGTTGAGAAGTTTCTGGTTTCTCAACTGGAAACTGCTCGAAATCCACCACTGTCGTGTCTTGCTTCTGCTGCAACATGGACTGTTCATCAAAAACGACATCTCTACTAATCACAACTTTCTTTGCAACTGGATCCCAGAACTTGAATCCTTTGACACCTTTCTTGTAACCCAGAAAAATGCACTCCTTCGATTTTGCATCAAGTTTGGATCTCTCATCAGCAGGTACATGCACATAAGCAGGACAACCAAAAATCCGTAAGTTATCAAAACTAACATCATGACCAGTCCATACCTCTTCTGCAACTTTCCTAGCCAACGATGCCCTTGGCGATCTGTTGATAAGGTAACACGCCATGTTAACAGCCTAAGCCTATAAGTGTTTGGGAAGCCCTGCATTCAACCGCAAACATCTGGCTCTTTCATTCAACGACCTGTTCATTCGTTCCGCAACACCATTCTGTTGTGGTGTCTTGCGCACTGTAAAATGCCTCTGAATCCCATGCTTCTTACAGAATTGTAGGAACTGTGAATCTGTGTACTCCGTACCATTGTCAGACCGCAAACACTTGATTTTTCGTCCTGTTTGGTTTTCTACCTCAGCTTTCCACAGCTTGAACTTCTCAAAAACTTCAAATTTCTGTTTCAAAAAATACACCCAAACTTTCCGTGAAAAAATCATCAATAAAAGTAACATAGTACCTAGATCCACCCAAAGACGATGTCGTGGAAGGCCCCCATACATCAGAATGCACATAATCAAGAATCCCTTGAGTTGTGTGCTTCGCAGTCTTAAAACGAACTTTAGTCTGTTTACCAAGAACACAATACTTGCAAAAATCGAGCTTACAGCTTTTGACACCATGCAACAAGTTTCTCTTGTGTAATTCTGCCATACCACGTTCACTAAGATGAGCAAGGTGCATATGCCATAATTTTGTCGTATCATCACAGGACTCAACAGAGTGAACTCCACCTGCAACGGTACTCCCTAACAATCTGTAGATATTCCCTGCAGTCATCTTGCCTTTCATCACAGTCAATGCTCCTTTAACAATCTGAATGGTTTCCCTATCCTCGTCAGCCTTAGGGATAAAACCATTCTTGTGCAAAGTGCCCAATGAAATCAAATTCTTCTTCAAGTCTGGGATATGTCGAACACCACTCAATGTCCGAACGGAGCCATCGTGCATCTTAATTCTGACATCACCAATACCAACAATATTGCAACATCGATCATCACCCAAATAAACCGAACCAGAATTAACCGGCCTGTATGTCGAAAACCATTCCTTATTTGGCGTGATGTGATAAGAACATTCAGAATCAAGAATCCAAGCATCCGTCAATTGTGTCGTTGAAATAGAAAGCATATCATCCTCACTGCAATCAGAATTATCATCCTCGACCACGTTCACAGACTTGGATGAGCCATCACGCTTCTCATCAGTTTGCTTTTTCAACTTCGGACAGTCTCGCTTCATATGTCCCGCCTCCTTGCACTTGTAACAGTGAATCGTCTTCTTATCCCTGGATTTGGATCTGGAATTCCGCTTCCCGGACCTTGCCTTCTCTGGCTTCCATCCACGATCTCTATTACCCTTAACATATAAGCTATCGGCTTGAGAGCTTTCCCCTGCATTCTGCTTCCGTTGGTTGTGAGCCAACAAGGCTGCAGTAATCTCATCAACGTTGATAGTCTCTTTCCCATATGTAAGAGTAGTCACCATGTGTTCGTAAGAGGGAGGCAACGAACACAAAAGAATCATCGCTATGTCTTCATCCTCAATTTTCACATCAAGCCGAACCAGATCAGAAACGATTTGATTGAAGACGTTCACGTATTATGCCAAATCGTGATCGTCCTGCATCTTCAGCCCATACAGCCGCTGCTTCAGATACAGTTTTTTCGTTAAGGATTTGGACATAAACTGACTTTCCAACTTCCTCCAAATTTCGTCTGGAGATAATAGATGCATGACGTGATACATGACCTCGTCCGCCAAGCATAATCGTATGGTTCCTGCCGCTCGCTGCTGCAATTCTTCCCAATCTTTCTCATCCATCGTCGCCGGCTTTGTAGGTCGCAAAGCCTTCAAGATCCCTTGCTGCGCCAATAGATCCTTCACCCTCGTTTGCCATAATCCGAAGTTACCCTGACCATCGAATTTCGCGACTTCGAATTTTGCTCCTGACATATGATACCAATTGTTGACGAAAACGGGTAAAGAAAACAAAAGAACACGAGAATTTTACGAGGTTCGGCAATGTGCTTACGTCCTCGGTGCCTAGGCGGCGCTAGAAGTTTTATTCAATGATATTTTAGGTCTATGTTACATCTCTATTTATAATAGAAAACCCTGGTACATAATTATAAAATCAACCATGTACCGTACAGCGGGGGCGCAGCCCCCCCACCCCCAACCCACATAATTCGTAACCCTACAACGAGACTTTCTTTGTAAGGACAGTTGATGTTTACTTCGCTCACTCCGCTTACTGGTATATTTATGAGCCATACCTAACATCTATATATTTAAAAATCATTCCTTTCCACCACTAAAAACTAGACTCGAGTATGAATCTAATAATATAAGGCACTCTGTCTAGTTCCACTTGTACAATTTATAGCGAATTTTTAAAGTTGACTGAAGAATTTGCTGTCATGATTTCTTACCTATCACTGATTAAAATTTCATATCATTTTGTATACTTCTAGAAATCAATTTCTATTTGTTCTAAACGAAACTAAACTGATATACAAATCCAATGGTATAAAATTTATTCTCTAACATTTTTGTAGAATTTCGGATGATTTTTTAAATTTACTGTTCAAAACATAATTTCTAGGCAGATTTTATCAACTAGTGCCTTGACTTATTCACTAGTTCTATTAACTTACTAAATAAACATATAAACTTGAATCACACTTCACATAACACTAGAGTTACTTCTTAACATAACTCCGACACTGGCTAATCGCAAGCCAATGTTTGATCAAAACATATAAATAAATGAAATGCACTCACCTTTGCCTCACTATCAAATCTTCTCCACGATAATCATCTTGATCCTGCACTTTTTCCTTCCCTTTGAAGCTACTTGAATCACTAAATTTACCGTGGACTGACGACGTCATATAATAAATCAGATTAATAAAATATCATAGTTTTAAGTACACTTAATTTTTTATTAAAATTGAAGTGCTTATAAATCCAAATTTTATGATAAATCAGATTTTCATTTACTATTACATTATGTTGTACATAAATGATAGAACATGTAAATACTCGGTTAACAAAAATGTTTGTGTTTCATAGATTATATTACATCATCTTCACATGCACACGTTTCAAAAACTGGTAATAATATATAAATAAATAAAAACAAAGACCAAGATGTAAAGAGAATAACAAGGTAGCATGGAGCTCAAGACTTTTAGGTGCTTGCTTGCACACCAAACTACTTGGATGATCATTCAGATTGGAGGGAGCTTGCTGGTTCAATCCATCACCTGAAACAGCCTTGGGTTTATCTTGTATATAGGAAACTTATTTTATGTTTCAAAATAAAAGGAAACTCACTTGGATCTCTTTGGATTTCTTTGTTTGTTTTTTTTTTTCTTCTGTTTCTTCGAATCATCATTTTGCATTTCCAGAGTAGATTCCAACGAAGTTAATATCATATAGCAAAGTTGCATTGGCAGGTATGTTGCAGTCACCTGTGTGAAGAGCATCATAGAGTCAGGGAAATAAGGTAATTGTAACCACAATGACTGTCTCACTTAACGTTCATTTATATTTACAATTTGAGGGAGAGGAATGAAAGGTCTAGAATGGTAACTTCCAGTTACACCAAGGAACTCACCGGAAAAGCATCCGGCCGGTTCCGGTCCGTATGCCAAGTTGGGTGGAATCTGAAGCTTGCGTTTTCCACCTGTATCAAAATCAACACCATAACAATTCCCCTAAAATAAAGAAATGCTACAAGTAACTTGCAGACTCTAGTCACTGTCTTCAGATTCTTACCAACTAGCATAGGAGGGACTCCTTCACCCCCTAAAATTCCCTGGTCCAATCCTTTAATGACCTGAAATGATGGCATGATATGAACTTACATTAACAGGGATAAACGAAATCCCAAAAAAAGGACACACGGGTAAATCTTCATTGTTCTCTTTCATTATTATTCCTCTCTCGAAAACCGATACCATTTTCAAGAGGGAGAAAGCAAGGTAGTCACTATGCGTTCGTCCCCAACATAAAATCATCCGTTCATCCCTGGTTGTAATGATAAACTTACGTATTTTTCCATGTTCTTTGAATTGATACAAGTACAATGACAAATAAGCAAGCGAATTTATGATTTATAAGCTCAGTTTTCCATTACAGAAAAAGATTTATCAGCTCAAGGACAAGCAGAAGAAGTGCAACTAGCCAAGACCAATTTTAATTCAGAGGAAAAGATTGACAATGAAACAGCTGTAGATGCATCTATAGGGAAAATTGTACCTTGCGAAGACCGATTCGCATGGTAAGAGGTCTAGCTCGTTTATAGCTACTGTCAAAGACCGTTCCATCAGCAAATCTTGCAGTGTAGTGAATCTTCGCAAAGAAGAAATAAAAAAAGATCTTAGTTCAATCAATCTGATGTAACTTTACATATTCTGCAATCTACAGTGACTATATGAATCATGGAATTCATTCACACTACATATATATGTATATCATTATATCGATATTTACACATTTGGGTGTTCAAAAACTTGCCATGGAAAGTTTCTACTCTTTTTCATTGTGAAGCTTATAAATAGTTCATGGTAGGTTATGTAAAGAAATGAAATAAAAGCAAAATCAAAACATTTCAAGCCAAAAGAAAATATATTTATGTAAAATTAAGTAATGATGACTCTAAAATACAATCGGTTAATGTAAGATTAACAAACTAGAATTCGGTTGTAACCAAAAACCTTACAAGTGAGTAATTTTTAGAGTAATTTGGATAATATTTAAGGTTGAAACCGAAAATATTATATTTTTCATTAAAATTCATATAAATTACATAAATATAAGTAATATTTTAGGTTAAAATCTACCGAAAATCAACATTCTCGGTTGTAAGAGAAATTATTAACGGTTGTATAATATTTTAGATTAGATAAATTAATATTTTAGGTTAAAACCACCACAAATTAGTCGTATGCTAGGCTGCACAGCATAAATACCCACTTAGTACCCTTCTCAACCAAACAAAATCCAAGTTTTGAGGATTGCCAAAAGGAAATATTCAAACAATTTAAAGCAAAATTAAAAGGAACCCAACCAAAAACAAGAAATGAGCTTACATTGACAAGCTCTCCACGCGGAGCTTCCACGCCGGAACCCACAATAACATCACAGTAACCAAGACCAGATCTGGCATAGTTGAGCTCGCATTGAGGTTCCCCTACAGTTGCGTAATACTCGACTCTGGTGGCGTCAGCATTCAATGGCGAGAAAGCAAGAACTGAAGCTGCTAATAGCCCAGCACCCACGTTGAAAACACATTGCTTGGCGGTAGGTTTTGAGTGCAAAGATAGTTTGGCTTCATTCGGAGGTGGCACTGGCAACGAAGATGAACAAGAACAGTAAAAGAATGGCGCTGAAGTGTATTTTGAGTTGGAGATTAGGGGATTTGCAGTTGCAATGGCTAAAGCAGAGGTTGTCCATTTTTCCTTTTTATGGTTCTTTAGATTGGAAACCAGTTTCTTTATATTGGAGAGTTTGGATAGGAAAACGGAAGGAGCCAACTTTGGAGGGAAATTCTGTTCGCTGGATATGGATAACATTGAAGCTTTCTTCCTTTTTCCAATTTGATGGGTAATATAAGACTATCATCAAGTATTTACACTCATAACACTCGTTTCAATTTGTTTTTTCCTTAAAAAAAATTAAAGGGTTTTTACCCCAAAAGTGAATTTTAAAACAATAATTACAGTTTTGTTGAGTATCAAAATTCATTTATTAAAATGTCAAGTTTATCTTCACAATAACACTTTAGTGAATATGATTTTTAAAAAAAAATTCTCGTAAAAAAATATAAAGAAAAAAATTAAGTAAATAAATATTACATTTGTTATATCGTTCGACTATTTATGGAATGTTTAAAGTCACATAGCTAATAAATAAGAGGCTCCGTTACTTTTTTTTTTAGACAAATATTAAATCTAATTTTAATCTTATTTAATGAGAATGAGAAGAAAAAATAGTGCTCTTAGTAAATTTAAAACTCATAATCTAAAAAAATATAAAGAAAAAAAATATGAAAATACAAGTTAACACGCATATAATTATTATATTTTGAATGGTTTGAATGATTAAAAGGTCGTATTTATTCGGGACTTCCTTAATCAATTGATAGCGCACGTACACCATAAACATAACTACTCGAACATAGGACTTCTAGGGAAAACAATGTTCCCTTTTATAGTTCAGGTAAGATAACACGCAATGAACGTCACAAGTATATTGATATGTAAATAAATTTAAGGGTATGTTTGTTTCACTGAAAATAAATTCTAGAAAATAAATTATATTTTTTAGAAAATAGTTTACGGAAATCATTTTCTGATGTTTGGATGATGTTGTGTAAAGTATTTTCTACTGTTTGACAAATTTTCTTGAAAACATTTTCCGAAATCTATTTTTAGTGGAACAAATACATTATAATTTATTTTTTATCTTTTATTTTTATTGAATTAATTTATTACTATAAAATTATATGATGTAAAATGTACATTACAATATTCTTATAATTACATAATTTTTAAAAAAACATTACAAATAAAATACTCAACAAGTTAATGAAGATAACTATGAATTTATTTTTCTCCATTATATGTAATCATGGTTTGAATTTATATTTATAAAAAATATATAATTGAATGAGAAATACAATGAATTTAAAATAAAAATTTTATATTATTTTATTGATGTAAGTTATAATAATCTTTAAAAATAAAAACCCAACACAATTTTTATACAAGAATTATTAAAAACTATCGGATTGAATTAATACTAACAAGAATTTAACTAATATTTTTCAACATGCTCTAATGAATCAAAAGCGAGTCTTTACTTCAAATTTGAAAGAGGGAGTATGAGAATGAAAGAAAAATGACAAAATTCAAAACTGTGAAAAGCAATTATAATATTGTTTTTTTCAATAAATTGTGAATTTCATTATCCAAAAAGCAATGTTCTCCTATAAATAATACAATGTAACTATACAAAGTAACCAGCAGTAACAAGACACCTATACAAAGCACCCCAACCCAACTATGTTATACAATCAATCGATACTCAAATCTATACAAAGAATGATATTTATATGAGTAAAAGCAGTGTAGACAAGCAAAGGTAAAATGGAAATGAAAGGAGATAAACGAAACAGAAAATTGAGAGCAATGTTTACTGGAAACTGAGCAAATTTCTGAAACAAAAAACAATATGGTATTAAAAGCAAGATACGTTTTACATAAGAATGAATAGTGGACAGGCCCACTATTTATACAACAAAGACTAACAAATTAGCCCAACTGAACGGCCCAACTAATTCTGTTACAACAGAATAACAGTTTCAGTTTTACAGCTATACAATACTCTAATATTCTCATAGCACCATGCAATTGGATTACCTCCAAGATACACACAATAACCTGTTGTGGATCTTCTGTCTTCCACCGAAGCTGCCCAGTCTGCATCAGTGTAGCAGACTAAACTGAAGCTGTCAGTTTGTGAGAAAAATAACCCATACTCAAGTGTTCCACTGAGGTATCTTAATATGCGTTTCACTGCCCTCCAATGTGTATCACATGGACTGTTTATGTACTGACTATCCTTATTAACAGCATAGGCTATGTCAGGCCTTGTTAAATACACATATTGTAAACCTCCTATAATGCTTCGATAAAGATGAACATCACCAAACAACTATCCATCATTAGCCTTGAGCTTAGGAGCAAGAACCATAGGCGTGGGAGTTGGAGTTGACTCATCCAAATTTGACCTTTTTAACAACTCAGAAATATATTTTTTCTGATTTAAAAATAAGCCTCTTGGAGAGTGTTCAACTTGCATTCCAAGAAACAATTCTAACTGTCCCAAATCCTTAAGAGAGAATTCCTCATTAATTGCTCACACTATGGCATCCACTTCTATCACCTGACTTCCTGTGATGACTATATCATCTACATACACCATTAACAATATTTGAGAACATGTTGTATTTCTGATAAACAGAGAAGAATCAGCCCTTGAAACAACAAACCCCAAGGTTTCAACTAGAAACTTCCTCAGAGTTTCAAACCATGCTCTAGGTGCTTGTCTAAGTCCATAAAGGCCTTCTTTAAGCAACACACCAACTCCTTCCCATCTTCACTTCTTTACTCAAAACCTGAAGGTTGACACATATATATTTCCTCTGTTAGCCTTCCATTGAGGAATGCATTGTTGATGTCAATTTGTCTAAGTGGCCAGTCCTTCATGACAGCAACTGCTAGAACAGTTCTTATTGTATTTGCTCGAACCACTGGACTAAACGTCTCGGAAAAATTTCTTCCCACCATTTGAGAGTACCCCTTGGCCACTAGACGAGCCTTAAGTCTGTCAACTGACCCATCAGACTTCTTCTTGACTTTAAAAAGCCATTTACAGCCTACTGCTTTGCGTGCTGGTGGCAGAGGCTTTAACTCCCATGTACCATTCTTCATAAGAGCATTATATTCACTATGAACGGCTTCACACCAAGCAGGATGCTGCAATGCTTCATAGACATTTGCTGGCTCTGAATAACTCGTCTCAGCAAGCAATACTTTAGGTTTAAAAACACCAGCTTTGCCACGAGTGACCATAGGATGAGCATTCTGAACTAGCCGTGATAAAGATGGTGGTGGTGGTGATGAAGTAGTGACTTCAACTGATTCTGAGGTGAATGGATGAGATGGGGATGAAATGAATTGTTGTGATGGAGATGATTCATGAGATGAAGATGATGATGTTGATGGTGTAGAAGATGGTAAATTTGAATGGGTAGAATTTGGGGAATAAGGTGAAGATGTGATGAATTGTTGTGATGAATGAGATGGAGATGATTCACGTGATGGAGATGTTGATGATAAAGAAGACGGTAAAGCTGACTTGTGATTGTGTGTGCTAGTAGGGATGAAAAAGAAAAGAATGGAACAACAAGCTATTTTGGGAACAAATATTATTGACACTTAACTGCTTTTGACTGTTTAACATTGGCAGACTAGAAGTGTTAGGATAACTTTGGTGTTGTTGGTAAGGAAACTCACTTTCTTCAAACCTAACATGCCTTGAGACATAGACACGGCCACTGGGTTCTAAACATTTATATCCCTTATGAGCAGGTGAATAACCCAAGAACACACAAGCAGAGGAACGAAACTGAAACTTGTGTTGATTATAAGGCCTTAAAAACGGGTAACATGTGCATCCAAAGACTTAAAAAACTATAATCCGGTGCTTTATGAAAAAATCTTTTCATATGGTGATACACCAGACAACACTCGTGTAGGCAACCGGTTAATAAGAAAAACAGCACTGGAAAATGCATCATTCCAAAAACTTATAGGCATACAAGCCTGAGCTAGCATAGAAAGGCCTACCTCAACTATCTGTCGATGCCTCCTTTCCACCAAACCATTCTGTTCTGAAGTATGGGGGCATGACAGTCTATGTATTATACCTTGCTCCTTCATGTAAGTTTGAAGAGCTCCAAACTCACCTCCTCCATCAGACTGAAACACCTTTAGCTTAACACCAAATTGCCTCTCCACCTGTTTATGAAACTGAAGAAATGCATATTTAACCTCAGATTTTTGTTTCAGAAAATAAATCTAAGTGTACCTACTGTGTGCATCAGTAAAAGCAACATAAAATATTAACCCATTAGAGTAAACAGGAGCAGGGCCCCAAACATCAGAAACTATAAGTTCTAGTGGTTGCTCATAAACAGTGTGTGAGTCATAGAAGGGTAATTTGTGTGATTTAGCTAATTGACATGCTTTGCATAACACTTGTTCTTTATTTACATCAGAAGGAGTTACATTGTAATGTTTCAATGCAGAAAGTAGCACTTCTTTAGATGGATGCCCAAGTCTCTTGTGCCATATATCTACAGATACCCTAGCATTAACAATGTAACAATTTATTGAAGACAAAGAGCTATTATTGGAATTTTTAACTTGCATTTCATCATCAGTAAACATGCAATTGTCATTATTAACAGTGTTATTCATGGAAATATTGAGTTTGTACAGCCCTCCATCTTGGCTTCCTTTTAACAGCACTTTCCGAGTATGTAAGTCACGAACTTGACAGAAATTAGGGTAGAATTCAAGTGCAATCTGATTGTCCTGAGTGAATTTAGAAACAGACAGCAAATTTTTAGTAATGTTAGGAACATACAGCAACTTGTTTAAATGAAATTTACTGGAATTAGCACAGAAAAAGGACTGACTAGTGCACTGTATTGGAAGAGTATTACCATTCCCTACTACCACACTACCTGTTCCAGGATGAGTTTCTTTAATCTGCAAGTTACTAAAATCTTTGGTTATGTGATGTGTTGCTCCAGAATCTGGATACCAAGCATTATCATCCACTGTTTCAGGTGTAGCTATATAAGCTTGAGATGTGGCATGTGGTAAAGAAGCAGTAGAGGGCTGATTTGTAGCTCCAGAAAGAAAAGAAGGCATATTGTGAGCATTTGAATAGATTTGATGTGGAAAATTAACAGGATAAGTTTGAGGTCGAAAAACAGAAATTTGAGGCATA